TGCCATGCCATGCGAGTCCCTTGGTAAATGTAGTTTTCCGCGCAGCCAAATTGAAAATCTGTTTGGGAAAGCTAAATTGCTGTATAAATAGTTTAGCCGAGCTGCAGCTGTGACCCACAAAGCCTGCCAACCGTACCCGGAGCGTAGCTTATTAATCAGCGCAGTCATGTTGATAGCCCCGCGGCTGACAAATGGAGCATCCATCTAGCTATCTATTGGTACCCACCAATCCTTCCAACCGTGCAGTGTGCATTAGATTTTAATTGCATGTAATTCAACATGACTTTGCTGCTGATGCGGGTTCCGGATGTGATGTTGATGCTGAGGCTGATGCAAGCCGCATGTGGAATGTTGAATGCAGGAAGCTGCAATTGCCAGCGACAAGCGCTGTGGCAGCGGATTTATTACAAAGGAAATGTGATTGACGTCGAGCACTTGGCATGGGTAATGTGCCACAAAATGAAAAGATTTTCTACCGCATCCTATCACCCCCAGACACAGACACAGAACAAATGAAACGTGCATGGCAATAAAAGCTATCAATAACTCTGCTCTAGATGTCAATTGATGGGAAGAACTCGAGGCATTCCACCACCAAATGCTGAAAGATACCAGCAAACGACGAGTCATGTGGCTGCTGTAATTTTATGGGAAGTGAAGAGAGAGTAAGCCAAGTGAAATCTGTTTTATATGGTAACGTTATGCCAATCAATTACAAAGTGAAAATAGGAGTAAGCATGTCATCGTACCGATAAAGTAACAAATTGAAATGCAAATAAGCTTCGAGTGTAATTATTTATGAATTAATTCATGGCAGATATTTAATTCAACATTTTTAAGCATAAATAAAATCATAATTCTGAACCTGTGTTAATGCTGAGAACACAATTCAAAATAAAGGCACGATCCAAAAGGCACAAGTACCATAAATATAAGCATTTCAGGGTGCCTTAAAGACCAAAAACTATTTTTTATTTCAACTTTAAAACACCATAAAAGTAACAACAACAAATAGAGGTCGTAAAAAAAAGTTCCTCTAGCGAGCTGCTCGCAAAAATTCTGTTCGACATAAAGCCATGAATGGGCCAAGCAGTTTGACAGCTGCTGATGGATATGAAAGAGAGCTGCAAACAGGACTATAACTATCCGTGTTGCTGGTACTTTCGCCTGCTACAACTTTAATGCTGGGGGAAACAAGAGCGAAATCAATACTGGATCATGGTCCTTGTCCTCGTCCTCGTCCTCGTCCTGCTGCTAAACATCCCCGAGCAGCACATAGCAGCCAATAACGGGGCGCGGGATTTATTTCCAGCCAGGCCTGCAAAAGAATTGCTGCAGTAAAAATTGGCAGTGACAAGGAGCAGTATACGAGGTGGATGCCGGCGGTGGCGCCACGAAACTGCGACGCCATTTGTCTGCCGAAATAGGAAGCACCACACATACACAAAAAATAAGAGAAGGAACAGGCTCTGGGCGTGACCTAGAAAAATAAAGTTAAGGAAACTTCAGGAATGGAGAAAGGAGGATGTCCGGGAAGTTTCGTAGAGGAATGGCCTCGTGCGTGTGCGGTTATAATGAATTGATTTATAAGCATTCAATTTTTGCAGTCTATAATTAGTTTTTTTATACAAATTGATTGAGTCTTCGACTGATGGCGAACGTATACGCATTCATTAAAGCCAACTGCCATGGCCGCATAATGTTTATAATTTAATTAGTTTTCATTGAAGCCAATTTATCGAGGAATGGACAGCTGTTTTCAATGTGCCCTGGCCTTTGATTTGTGAGTGAGAAATCAATTTTAATTAATTCTGATTAAAAGCATTTTAACACCAGATACGTATTCAACCGCCATTAAGCCATTCGCAAAAGTTCTTTTGATTAACATTAAATTGGCTTATTACTGTGTATATTTAATGACTTTTTGCGTTAGATTATGGAGAATTATTAATTAAATAGAAGATAAATCGAATTATATTTTGGAAGATAACTTAATTGAGTTTGAAATTAGCTTATGTATTTTCAAATATCTCCGATAAATTTATTGCTCCTTGGAAAAGCGACTTAGCCGCTTCGGTTTCGTCCTATTTTTCAAAAATTACTTTTGTTATACATCACTTGTAATTTGAATATTTTATCAAGCATCTCATTCAATCATTATTCAAAGCCCCCATTTAAGCGCTGCCCACACAGGACTTCGCTTTAAATATGGGATAATTTTAGCAACATGACTTCATTGCGCTATTATTGATCTCCCAATGGCTGCCAAAATTCTATAGAGGCTGGCCTCTCCAATGCCAGCAAAAGGTTGAGGGTCGCATGGCGCCGTCTGGTCGCGGCGCTCCGTGAAGAGCAGAAAACAAAGTGTAACCTTAACAGAAGAGGTGGTCGTTTCACCCCCAGAGCCCAGACAATATACAGACAGGGACGTTCATTACGAGAGACGGAGCGTAGGAAAAACAAACAAGTTTTCCTTTGGCGGCAGCGGCAGTCCTGCAGATAAAGCATAAAACTGTCGCCAAAGCTTTGCCAGCTTTTTCTTTCGAAAAGGAAAATTTAACGGGGGAATGGGGTCTGATGGGGTACAAATATATATATATAGTGCCCTTTGGGAGGTACGAACCCAACTTGAAAGGTCGAACCACATTTGGCCAAGACAATTCTCGTGTGCGACATGTTGGGCGTCATAATAATGCTAACACAATGGGCAGGATTAAGTGGGTCCAAAGTGCAGTGTGCCCAACCCCTCAGCCCTTATTGTCCTTTGTCATTGCAGTCCGTGCCTCAGGCTGTTGCTTGTTTGTTGCGCTTTTGTGTCCACAACAACAGAGGCAACGGCAACTCGAGCAAGTCGCAACAGTAGCAACTACAAGTCCTTGTACGAGGACATGGCATATGTATGCCTTGTTCGTTCTAGTGGTTTCAAGAGGGACAACCCGCCAGAGGCGTTGCAAGGCAGGCACTTCCATCGACTTTCAATACCTCTTTGGTTTTATATATTAATGCGCTTTGCAGTGATTCTCTGCCTGATTCGCATTCCAATTGCAAAGTAAATTCCTTAATGCGCTTATCCTTTTAGCAACGGTTGGGCATTCGCTTAGAGTTTTCCCTCTATTCGCCATTATACCATTTTACAGTTTCCTATTCTTTTTTTAACCAGGCTGTGCAAGTATTGTCTCTATCGCAGTCGTTTGGGTGTAAAAATAATTTGAAGTTGCTGCGACACAGTGGATGTGAGACCTGCATTTCGTTTTGACCAGCTCCCCATACAGAGTTACATTTTGTATCTTGTTCGATTTTTTCATCAGAGTATGAAATTTAAAAAAAACGTAAATTTTAAGAAAAAACATTTACTATAAATATAGATTCAGAGGACCAAACCTTCAACATTTACTATGATACTCTTGTCCTCTTGCATCGTTCTCCCAATTGTTTTTTAAACTTGTTCCCTCATCTGTTTCTCAACTTTTTTAATTCCTTTTTCCTTATTTACCCTTTGTAATACAACGCTTTTTAATCTTGGTCCTATTCTTCCTCTCTGTTATCCCAGTTTCCTAAGAAAGTCTTATTCTTGTCCCTCTCTTGTCATTCTGCATTTAATCTACTTTTAATCTTCTTCCATCTGTTGTTATTTTCCTGTCAAATTCAATTTATGTTCTCAACTCTTCTTTACATTTTTCAGGAAAAGTATAAGTATGATTCACCTCAGAAGTTTCCTCATTAGCATAATATCTCAAGGACCCAGTTAGCATGGATAATATCTATTGAACCACAGTGCAGAGACTCCGACTGTTGCACAGTTAAGAGGACCTACCTCGAATGTTTGTCTGCAATTCACGTGTATAGGCAGTGACTAAAATCCAGTCAATTTTCGCACTCTCACGCGCCACTGACCGATTTGGGATCCGATTGGGGTTTCAGGGGCCCCGTGTGAGTGTGTACAAGGAGCCAGTGAACCATTCAGCTGTCAAATATTTGCACTGTTGTTAAATTCCAGCAATGGCGTGTCACACCGTTGGGACACACGTCACTGGCAGCTATATTTTTTCACGAGCGAGAGGAAGCCATACCCTCCGTTAACTATATCCACATACCATATGAAATTGTGCTAATTAACAAGCAATTAAGACAGCATGTAAAGTTATTTTCAAAACACAGCTGAGGGTTGCGCAGCTGAGGGGCATTACGGACAACTATGGCATGCAGAACAGTTAACTTTGCAACGCCAGCCACAAAATGGAGGGAGCGAGAATTCCGCCTTAGCATTCCCTTATCGCCTAAGTGGCCGCCGCCTCGGCAGGGAGCAAAAGTTTACTTTATATGTACTATATAGCGATAGGAATGGGAATGGCGATGGCTATGGCAATGGCGGAGTCGATGCCGAACGCCATTGTTTATTTAAGCCAATATCCGTTATTTAAGTTGAGCTTCCTTCCGCCCGACATTTTGTTGTTGCAGTTGTCAGCTGTTTGTTTGGCTTTTGTTTGAAATATTTAGCGCTGGTGGAAAAGCAAATAGCAAAGAGCGCCTCTATTTGGACAAAAGTTCAACAGACACAACAACCATATGGCCACGACGGCTCGACTGTGGACCAAGTTTGGCCAACGGAAGTGTGAACTTTGCTGCCATTATATAAAGTTAGCTCCAAGGGAAACTGAAAGAGGACATTGCACTAAATTGCCACACCAAAATCCTTGACAAATTCGCCAACATTTGACCGCAAATGATGTGCAATTGAATGAAGGACGCAAAAACAAAATTATTCCACAAAACAGCTAACAAAAAAATAAAATTATTTTTTGGGAAAACAAAAACAAAGAAAATAATGGAATACAATAATAGAATTTCTATAAATCAAGTAGGTCGTATATGTTCAGGTTAGGTATTTCCCAGTCATCAGTTTCAGTTCTAACCGTAACGTCGAGCATACAACATCGACAACAATTTTCGAGCTACTCCCAAAAATACTTACAAAATATATTAGGTTAAATATTTTCAACATGCCACCCGCTAAACGCAAACTGACCAATATGGCTGTAAAGAAACGCGAAAGTAATAGTGATGACTCTTCGGAATACACCACAGATACCGAAGACATTTGCTCTGACAGCGAATATGAGTCATCCTCATCCGATGATGACAAGGAATATTACTCGTCTACTGGGGATGAGGATGAGTATGATGATGATGATGACAACCATCCTGTGAAGGCGACCAAAAAGTCAGCCGTCAAAACAATGCCAAAGCGTTGCACAGACAAAAAAGCAACAAAAGGCCGCACCGTGAATACAAAGACTCGTCGGAATGCGCGGAAACCAGTAAAAAAGCCCGCCAAGCGAGCCCCAGTGAAGCGCAAGCCAATGTGCACCGAAACCTCCACGGATTCTGACGACTATAGTGTCCAATTGGTCCAACCAACTCCGAAACGGACAGCAAGAGGAAGACCCAAGAAAGAGCCCAAGAAGACCATGACTCCTGTCCAAAAACGCTTGCCAGCAAAACCCGCTGGTGCCCCGCGTCAATCCAAGAAGGGACAAATGACATCATCGACATGGTCGATACCGTCGAAACCGTCGATAGTGGCGAAGCCGAACTCACCAACGAAGCCGAAGCCGAAGCTGAAGCCAAAGAAGCAGATAACAGAGCCAAAAACGGTCACGCTGAAAGAAAATAAATCGATAACGAAACCGATAACTACAAACCCGAAAGAAACGATACCGACTGAACTGCCGAAGGATAAGACCGGAGAACAGAAGGATGCGAAACCAGTGAATAAATTGAGATTCCGCTTCTACCCATGGAACCAGTCAAATCAGAAGGACGCTACGCTTACCAACGAACCCGACCTGACAGTATCGATGCCAGAAACAGCTAAGCTTGGAAACCCAGACGAAAACATGCCGACTAAGCCAGAAGAACAGAATCCACAGAAACCTGACGAAAAGCATCCGGATGTGGCTGATGATATCAAGATATGGCATCGAAAAGACGAGTAAAAACAGTTTAGGTGGAATCACATCAAAATTTAAGTATTTTTGGAGTGAACAAGCAACTGCCTGCTATTTTTTTTTGCATGTCGAATTCAAAATAAGCTAAAATTTTAACAAATTAATCTCCTTAAAAGTTTATATTTATGTCAAAACCAAAATTGTGAAGTTTGTAAGGACTTTGGAAAAATGTAAAACTTAACAATTGCATCTATGTCAAATTCAAAATGATTATCATTGGAAAAGTGTAAATTAAAGTTCAGGCTAAATATTCAACTTCTCACTTTTATTTCTCGCATAGACAACCACTATCAAAGCTTCCAAGTCCTTTCATTTTGTCCCAGGTATTTTAAAAGTCAATCCCCATCATTAATTAATCTATCAAAAAATAGATGGATCCGTGATGGATCTGTAAAGGTATTTTAAGCTATAGTAATCCGCTACCGTTGTGACAACACTTAATTGCAAATCCTTAACAAATTCCGTTGAGTTACGTACATGACCAGATTAAGCTTCAACTCATTCAACGTCATTGGCTCAAGGCGAACAACTGACCAACTTTTGCACGTTGTCAGCACTTTCGACCTTTGGCCAAAATGCATAATAAACACGCTGCTAGGCTGCCTGGTTGCCAGGCAGCAGCCCATTATGTAGCTGCAGATGGTCAAAAACTTTGGCGTTAGCTGGATTTGCCGGATCCTGGCGGTGGCTCAACATGTTTTGGCTAATTAATGTCAAAAGCCGTTGCGAAAGATAACTTGCCGAGAGAAGGCGGACATTTCGGTCTAAGCCCCGCACACTACCACACACCTGTTCATGGGCAGGCAATTGAAATTTAAAGCCGGAAGTTTATTGTTGCAACAAAAGAGCGAGCTTGGCAGCGGATGCGCCACCATCTCTGTCGTGTCCAGAGAACGGACACCGCTCGGCCAGAACTAGTTCTCGCTGGGCATTGTACAGAACTTTTTGTCCGTAAATAAATCCCTTCGAGTATAAATGAAATGCAAACTTTTTTCCGGTAAGCTGACGGTCTAATTGTTGCCAGCTCCTGTTGTTCCAGGTTATCTGCCCTCAACCTGCTACTGCCTCTCCCAGCTCTTCATTATATATAATACCCGTTAGTCTTTGAATAAAAGGGTATATTGTATTCGTTTAAGTTGATGTAACACCATGTAGGTGGTTGTGGCGCCTTCCTTGATCGATAGATAGTGTTTTAGTAATCTTCCAGATCAAATAATAATTGCAACCAAAATAATCAAAACTATTTTCCAGGTGAGACGTAATCTCCAGCGTAGCATCTCAAATTATCAGATAAGAGCATACTCGTTAAAAGAGTCCTGTCTGCCAATGTCCCATCCAGTCAAAACCACTTGTACTTTTCGGCACAAGGCTTTACTACGAGATATCTCATAGTCGTTACACTCAACTGGATTATTCCCTCTTGTTTGCATTAGTTTTCATTTCCTTTCTTAAATTATTTAGAACAAATTTGTGTAGCTCTCAGAGCACCTTTAAATTGAAAACCTAATGAGCAAACCACTCGAAAGTGCTTCAAAATTAAATGGAAAATGCGCTGCATTGGCAATGCTCGGCGCTTACGTGTCCGTGCCAGTATAATTGCGCTTAAAATCGTTTAAGTGTTTTATAATCCGCCGTTATTTTTTCCTCACTGTGGCCGCTTTAAACGACGTGGCTTCCACCCGGCACCCTGACGGCGGACCAGAAAAAAACACCAAAATGGCTTTTTAAAGCGTTTGCCAGGACGGATCCCTTCAGTCGTTTTCTGTTCCGGAGAGGGTGTGTGTGCCTGTATTTGCTTGTGCTGGTCAGTTAAGGCTCTTATGGACGCACATTCACATCCAAAAAAAAAACACACACGCAGACACACATGTGTGTGAGCCATTAAAAGCGGAGAAAATTGTTGCACGCCGTTTTCGGATTTCTGGCGATTTTCTTTGTGGCCACCAGCACCGCATTGGTATGCTCCGGCTTTGGATACGGCTGTAGATCCCTCTGCCATGAAGATTTGCAGTGCAAGTGGGCTAATTACGATGGGGGTCTGAAGTGGAAAGGGATCCAAGAAAATTGCCCCACTTGAAAGAGATGTGTACTTTCCAGGTAATTAATTCAGTTACATTCCTTTGACAGTTTATGAATTTCGTACTATGAAAACTTAGATTGAAAATATTCAAAACAAAGTCAAATCAAAGGCATTTGGATGAAAGCATCTGCATTCATAACTTCCCTTTACTGTTCAAATTCTATGACATTGCAATCTTGTTGCACCCGAGTGGCTACCACTTGACTCCCTTTCGCCTTGTGCGTCTCAACACCTAAAAGGGCACCACAGAAACAGAAACAAAAACTGAATTTAATTTATTTATTCATGGGTTGCATATGAACATATACATACTTGTGCAACCTTTGAATTTCCGCTCCATATACACATAACTTTGGGTCCAATTGAGGTCACAATTGTGTGAGAAATCCGTCTTTGGACCCAAATACATATCATCTTTCCAGCACATTCCAGAGACCGCAGCGGCAGAGCGCACCTGGCTGGGAAACCACTTGAGGAGGCCACCACTTGCTGGATTTCAGAAAAAAGTTCCACACTTACCCCAGAACTTAAGATACTCAAGTGCACACATACACTCACTAAGGCCCACATAGATACAGACACAGAGTTGCGGATTCATATGCAAATACGAGGCCTGGGCGCTAGGGAGCCACTTAGGGGGCTGTATGTATCTCCTTCCGGCACGGCACTGGATACCTTTGGCTTTTTATGCATAGTACGTACCTGCAGGAGACAAACAACAAATAAACATAAGTAATAATGTCGAGCTTCTCTGGTTAGTCACATGAATATGAATGGAGTTTTTTCTGGTTTCCCCTTTTTTCTGGCTTATTTAAATGGCAAACAAATAGACAACCAAGCAGAAGGACTACTACCTTCTAGTCGGCTCCATCTTCATGCAGAGAGTTATGCAACTGAAACTGTCGACAGCTTTTGCCCCCTTATAGCCCTCCCACTCGAGTTCTGTGAGGCGTTTGTAGAGCGCTTAAATCTTTAGAAAATATCTAAATTGTTCTCTATGGCTTTTGTGTCAGCTGTCTCAACCAGACAATGTATGTGTGCGGATCTGTGTGTATTTTTTTATGTACGTGTGTCCATATGTGTGTGCGTGACATGCATTATGCTGTTTTTGACTTTGCCACAAACAACGTAAAAATGTCTTTCCCCATTTGTCTCGTATGCCTGTGAAATGAACTTCATTGTAAGCCGCTCTGGGGATTTGCTGTGACAAATGAAATTTATAGTTCTCCGATCCCCAGCTCTTCTGACTCCATTCCCTCCCCCGGGGGAAAAACTGGGAAACTGCAACGCTGCAAATCTCTGAATGCTGGAAATCTAATTCATCTTTCAAATTAGCAACGTATTTTTACGTATAATTATAGAGTATAATTTGAGAGTAACCTACTAACTCGTATATACGACTTGGGCTAGAAATGTAACTAAAGGAAATTTTGCTGAAGATTTTTATATCTCTATTTAAATTTAGAATCCTTTTCGTTTCAGTAGGGAAATTTTTCTTGGCAGACTTCCGATTTTCAATGAAGTCAGAAATCTAACTGAAATCATCTCCTCAAAATTCTTGACATACTCGTACAAAAGCTACAGAAAGTATTTAATTTTGATGAGCTGTTTACAGGGTATCAATACATGGAACCTTTTTTTAGGATGAATCGCTCTCGGTTTTTACTAAACCCGCAACCGACAATGCTCTTTTGTGCACATGTGACATGAAGCCCCAAAAGTGATATAAATAAAATTCCATAGCATACTTTTTTTGCGCTGCCTCATGCACATACACATACACATACATGGAGACATCACCAAACCCATCCGTCATACATAGCTGGCCCCGCAACTAAAATATCCTTTTATGTATACATATATCATTCACATTCTGTTTTATCCCCGAAAGCTTTTGGCTGCTGCTGTGGCAGTGGCATCTATGCCATTTACTCAGAGTCATTAGACTGATGGCCTGTATAGGGGCCCTTTAAATTTGCCAAAGGAAAAGAGAGAGAGAGCGGTAGAAGAGACTTTAATCATATTTATCAAAGGGTATGTAAGGGCCTGACTGACAGCTGTTTGTGGTTGGACGGCTCGTGGTCACATAGCCTGTTGCATCGGCCTGATGAGGGAATGCATGACATTGCCCCACCCTGCTAATCTAATAAGTTGCCTAACAAACCACATGACAGAGCAAGACCAGCCTGCCATACAAAATCCAAGCACGAAGCTACGGGATGCGGTTATGTCAGTCGACCAACTATCCAACCTATCCAAACTCCAATCTCCATCCAGCTTACGACTCACCACTTGAACCATCTCTGTGTGTGGAAGCACTCCATTTCCATATACCCTTAAAAAGGGTAACACATTTTTGACTAAATGTTGGCAACGCTGAGAAGGAAGCATTCTGACCAACAAACATAAATATTTTCTTGATCAGTCCCTCGGCTTATATCATCCATACAAAGTCAATTCGCCAACCCTTAAATTAAGAAATAAAACCATAGGCAAGATATCTCTCAAAGGGGATCCAAACATTCGGTTACCTAATCCTCTTCATCCCTTCTTGTTGTGGTTAATTTTGTAAGAGACAGCCCTGTGGATGTTGCGTGCACTTGCGGTTGCTCTAAGATTTGATTGCAAGTGTAATTCAAGCACGCTCGGCTGCCCAGTTGCTATTTTGCTGGTCCGACCCGTACTCTCCTTTCACTTCGCTTGACTGACTGCCGAATTTCATGTAGAGCTCGCCTGCATTTGTTTTAAAATTAAAGTGCAGTGCAGCAGAAAGCAGAAACAGCAGTAAGCAGCTGCAGCAGGAGCTGTCTTTGTTTTCTCCTGCATAGGAGTATCTCTCTTCCCCACGACCTCCTGCATAGGAATTTCCCCGTTTCCAGGGACCATGGGGCGTCTCCTCCTCCGTGTTTTGGGGATGTATCTGAGTTATGTGCCGCTGCTTGTGCTGATTAAGCGGAGCATCGCAGCGCCGCGGGCATTCGGACTGCGGGCGGTGCGAAATGGATGCCCCGTTTTGGTTTCCCTGCTATTGAATGGAGCTCCTAAATATGCTTTGTGTTCCCTCGGAAATGTATGAACATTGCAATGTTCAACAAAAAACGAAGCTGGGAACACCGGAGTCAGTGGAGAGGACCTTAAAAAAGAAGTGGCAAGGAGGAACACAAAGAATTGAGTTGTCAGAAAACCTTTAAAAAAAGTTTCGTGACTCACAAAGTTGTATCCCCTTCGAAAATCTCTTCACTGGTTACATCAAAAACGATAAAATTTCACAAGAAGCTAGGTAGATTTTCGACCAAATATACAAGTATGTATATGCACATCTATTCAAGAACTCTCACATAATCATAAAATATATTTTCTTTGATTTAAGCAGCGTATTTATTGCAATGCAATTGAAATGTTTTAAGCTACTTATTTATTATTATTGGCTGCACTAAAAACACACAACACACAATAAATCCAATAATGTTTATTTAAATGTATCATGCTAAGTGTTAATTATAGAAAAGCTTACTCATAATGAAATTTCAAAATAATAACTCTATTATGCATAATTTCTCCGACTTTTGCTGAAATTAACATTAACCTTTGACAGCTTACCTGCCAAAATTTTTTAATTGGGTTATATTCCCGACGTATGCATTGAATATTTACATACATACATATGTCAAATACCCACAAAAAGCGTTTATTAACAAACAATATAGATTAATTACAAATATAAGCAAAAAAAGCGAAAATTAAATTATATGTAACAAGATAAATAGAAAATACTTATCCTAACATTGTATTTGTTGCATTAACCCTATTTAAAACACCGATTATGGTTAGAGTTAAGCATATTTATTGGATGGTGCCATAAAAAAGAAAACCACATGAATAAATAACTGATTGGGCTTACAATGTCATTAACAAAAAAACAAAAAACCACAAAAAGAGACAGAACGAAGCGAAAAGTGCGAACAATAAATATTTAAACGGATTGCGACAACTAAATTGTGTGTAGCAATGTGTACGAATACATTTCAGCTGTATGTATTACTGTTATTTGTTAATACTTAGTAATCGTGGAGCATAACAGGCTGGAACAAATATTAGATAATTATTACAACTAAAATTGCAGAAAACAAGTTCTTTTGTACTCTATTTTTAAGACAGAAAAATAAAACTTTCCTCTTATTACCATCTCCCTACTCAAAAGGTGTTTGTAGAGGCTTGCTTATTTAAGTTCGTTTTAGAGAGTAAGTAGAGGGTATCTTTTAGTTTTTATATCCACCATAAAGTTCCTCCTTGTTTTGCGGCTGCTAATGTTAATTAATTTCAACTAAGCGGCTTATGCATATAAATAGCGAATGGCAAATGGAATACATAACAGGCAAAACAGCAAATGACATTGAAGCTCTTGGAAAAGCCGACAAGATAATTATTAGTTATTTAAACAGCTTTTGTTGCATGTTTAATGCAAATCCGCAGCAATGCGTGTAAGGCATGGCGCCAACAAATGACAAGAGAATTGCAATGCCCAGAGGCTTAAATTGATTGTGTTATTTGCCTCCCTGCCCGTTGGCATACCATGGCAGAACAATAAATATATAAAAACATGAATCATTTATTTGCATGACCCCGATGCAACGTTTTGATACTGAAACAATGCGAGATGCATGATTTTTCTAGGAATTCGCCAACAAAAGATTGAAGGCTTTAAGCTCTGTGCCTGCCTCGCCGCTTCCTGCTATTTTTCCCCCCAAACCAACTTGGGATAAATCAGGGGCCAAAACCAAAGCAATAAATAATAAATCAGCGCTAACAATTTGCACAGCATGCTCTGCACAGTGCTTGCCTCTTTGTTCAGCTGCTGCTGCTGCTGCTGATTCCACGGGGAAGTTCCCCGCTGATAACTTGAAACCGGGCAACGGGTACCGCGTACCGGGAAGTTACGCGGAATGTGGAATACGGAGTGGACTCGATTTTGCCATTCATGAAAATTATGCATCGAGATGAAAAATAATGAAATTAATTGCTCGGAAAACAGTCAGGCAGCAAAACAGTGAAAAGTGGGACCTATCCAAAGCTCCTTCTCTGAAATGGCTATGGAAATGGACTTGATGGAGTGGAGGATTTGAAAAAAATAAAATGGAAAACAGCTAAGCGAAGATGGTTTAATACAACAACAAATTTTCCTACATTTATCGACTAAACCTAAAGCTTTGGTTAATTTTCCATAAAAAAATAAAGTATTTAAATTAAATCCACTATTTGGCTGCGTAACCAATCAGAAAGTTTGATGCGTTTTCCCTTTAAAATAAATCAAAATTTACTTTTAATCTGCAAAACTATCAAACAAAGATAGGAATTAACTTATGAACAGAAAACATTGTATTGTTGGATTTTACTTCTAACAGAAACACAATTCTAGCAGACTTTCCATTTATGTTTATTAAAGAATCAAAATTTCTTCAATTACACTCCATGAAATTCCACTAATAGCTTAAGTGAAAAATTCTGTAAACACATCAAAATGCTGAAGCATTCACCCAAATGCAATTTGTTTGCTCAAATCAGAATTGTGGAAAAGTAGCGCCAGTATCAGGGCATCCTTGGCTACTGGTTGCTAGCTCCCACCAGGCGAAAAGTCCGTCAGTCGTTAATCAAAGTTAAAATGCGTTAAACAAGC